AAGCCCACAAGCACCATTAGGAGAGCGGGCAGCGAGGTGTTTCTGCCTCAGGTGCTGGCGCTTTGACCTCCTAGAGAATATAGCTGAACTTTTGGGAGTTCCTCAGTTTGGAGCTGCAGCTGGAGAAACATGAGATCCAGTTTCTTATTTCGATGGGCTGAGCAGGAGGCTCGCATTCCTCAGCATCACTCTCACAGCTCTGGTACTTCGTGTTCAGCTCTTCCCTACCCGGTATGGTGGCCAAGGAGGCTTGCCTGTCTTGCACATGTCTGATTTTTGTTTTAAGGTTCCTGTGGAAAGCAGCTGGTAAGGGACATTGTATGGATGAGATGTTTTCATCGGATGGTTTTGGCCAGCCCTCTGCGTGATGGTGCTTTGGAAGGTGACAAGTACCGCCACATCCAAGATGCAAGTAGTGTGCGGCAACCCAGTGTAGACCTGTTAGTGATGGGTTTGCCACTACTCAGCGAGAAGACCAGTGTTCCCTCCGGAGAACAGGCAGCAAAGCTAGACCCATGCTGTTTGTTACCAGTGGCCAGTCATCTTCTCAATCCTGCTGCAGAAACACCTGATGCTAATAAAAGTTTGTGAAACTTCACTCGCTGATTGTAATAGGTATCCTGTGTGGCTGTGGGGTGCCTGCTGGTGGGGTGGGTGGTGGTACAGGGGACATGTGAGGGGCTACTCAGGGAGCCCCGGTCATTACGCCGAGGATTAGGTGCTTCGTGACTCAGCGCTTGCCAGCTCACAGCCTGAGTCATCTTTTTGGAGGCTGCTGGACCTCGCAGTGAGGAGCTGTCAGGATCCTAGGATTAATTCCAGTACTTGGAGGTGAGCCACTTACTGTTTTATAATTCTGCTGAATGTCTTGGGCCATTAGTTCAGATATCAACCAGAAGAATAAAAGCTCATCTGCTGTCATTTTTCTCCTTTGGGTCTCTGAAGAAGACGGGTAGGTTTAACGGGCAAGGGGCCAGAGAAAGTCTGTTCTCCCTGGAAAATTCCTTTGGACGGTCGGTTCTTTTACTTTACCTCATGTATATGCACTGCAGGGAATATTTATGGGTCACCTGGGCAATAGAAGGTGACTGTTGACTGCTATGGCAGGTAAATACAAGGTCTAGAATGTACAGGTAGCGTTGTCTAAACCATGAGATTTTTATTTAAAATGACTGTTCAAGTTCCTGCTTTATAGGGATTCATATCAGTTCAGTATAGTTAGCACCTGTAACTTACTTTTCCGAGGTAAACTGCTAGTGGTCTAGATTTAGAGGTATGTGAATGCTTTAATATAGGGTTATATTGCTAATTTATTACTATTTTATTTTATTACTATATTTGTGAATATTTATTACTAGATTAAAAAAAAAAAGGTATATTTAATCCTTCCTTTTGAAGACAACTGGCAGTTGCAAACTACAGCTGATGGAGTTCCCTGAACCTGCTGGTTCTGGCGTGCGCGAAGCTGTGTGGTCATTCTGAAACAGCAGAGCAGGTCATCATTATCCCCTTTGCAGCTAGCTCGGCTTCACATAATTATAACTGCTTACTTATGCTAACTGCTTTAATTGGGTGTATCGCCTTCAGTGTTCCCTGCTGACATTTCTCTGCGCAAAGGGAGAGCGCTGAGATACTGTATTTTCCAGGAGAGTGTCAGACGCCTCAGTCGCTCCAGAAAGACCCAATGTTTGCGTGGGAAAGGGCTCAGAGGCATTAGCAGCGAGGAACTTGTTCCCTGACAATTCTGAGGCCCATGAACCGGGACGTATGGCACGAAGCAGAGGACAGAATAAGCAAAACACTGTAAAGAGGGGTCTGTGGAGGAGCAGGGGGTACGTGCGGCAGGGTGGCTGCCATGCCAGTGCCTACCTGTGAGGTGCCAGGGTGAGCAGTGAACCGGCACTGATTGCAGCGTTAAACCTTGCAAGCACCTGCCAAGCTGTGCCAGCAGCGCTGTGCCGAGCTGTGCTGGCGCATGGAGGCTGCTGGAGTGCCAAGGGCGCTTCAGCCGCACTCGTTTAGCAGCGTAAAAGATCCCGGCCATCTGCTTGAACAGTGCTCGTTGGTGACATCAGGTCACCCGTTGGTGTCCTTGTGTGTTTCCTCATCGGAAACAGAGCTGGCATCAGCACAGCCTGCACTAATTGCAACTAATAGTGGAGGCAGCGAGTGAATTGAGAACATCTTATCTACGGTTCTGGTCCCCAGGGGCTGGCTGGTGGCTGAGGTGTCCCCCAGCTTGCCCCTCTGCAGTCATGGCTGCAATTTGAACACCTTGTCCCTTCTCATTTACAGTGGTCTCTGCCTTCCAGGAGCACATCTACCTGGGACTGGCATATTTGCGATGATAGTTAACCTGAAGCCTTTTTCGGCACTACCTTAGAGAACTGCTCTTTGAATTGAATCCTGGAACTATCTGCTGGGTAAAGAGTCACTTCTCTCTGAGCTGTTGCCTGATTATAGCAGATTTTTTTTTTTAAAAAAATAATTAGTTATCTGGAAATGGTATAGTGTTACTCTGCCCATTTATCTTCCAGCAGCCTTGCTGCTCCATCCCTCTCGAAATAAACCTCTGCCTTGGAAACGATCTTTGTGCAGAAGCAGCCTGACTGGACTCATGATGCTGCTGGGTAGAGATACATGACTAATCCATGGTGTAAAATTTCCAGCCTATAGTTAACTTCAAAGACCAAATCTTAAGATGAGAATAAGTGTTTTGCTCAGAAAAGAAACATAATATTGACGTTCTTGGTCATTTGGCTGTTCCTGTATGCTTCTGCTGGGTTAGGCTGCCATCAGCTGGGAGGTCCCCAAACCCAGGCATGCTGGGGGAAAAGCAGATTTGAGGGGCTTCCCACTTTTCTTTCTCCAGATCTCTGATGCAGCCTGGGTATGGAGCCGCCACACAGGCCCTAGTAATGCTCTGACTCATGTGTTTTGGCAGAAAGTCAAAAAAAAAAAAAAGATGGTGGTGCTCTCAGGGAGCTGGTGTGTGGGCAGGGTGGCCGTCTAATGCTGTGCAGTTTGAAAACTGTTGTTGGGTGACGCATCCTTCTTCTGTCCAAAAACACTTTTAGTAACACTTGACCTTTGGAGATATGAAATATGGTTGAGTTTCAGAGGAATTTTTTATCTCCTTTTCAAAGCAGGAGTCTCCGTCCTTCTGAGCCCTCTGTAATTTACTTTCTCTGGTTCTTAACTGAGGTTTCCCCCCCCCTCTGTCCACAGACGTTGCAGCTACCCAATCCTTAAAATGACTTCCTCAGACACTTCCAGGTGAAGGCTCCGTGGTGCACCTCACAAAATTGCAATCTAATTCTCACAAATTAAAATGCAATTAAACAAACCTGTTCTCCCACTGTAAATCAGGGAGGAAGGAAGCCTTTTCCTTCTGCCCTTCCCTCTCCCGCCTCTCTCTCTCCCTGTTACTTCCTCATTGCACAAACCAGCCAGTTCTTCCTGGAACATGGGAGGATGCTGAAGCTCATGGGAAGCTCGCCCACCACTTTTGGTGGCGGCACCTGAAACAGCTGTGTGCAACCTGCCTAACCTCTGGCTGGCAAGGCAGGGCTGGTCGCTTGCTGAGAGGATGAAGGAGGTGAGCCACCTTCCTAAAGCTCAGCAAGAAGTAGGTGCATGCAGCCCTACTTAGGCTGGTGGTGTGTGGCTTTCTTGGCAGGAAACTGCTGTTGACACTCATCAGTGATTAAAAACAAAAGCACAAGAGCTGGACGTCTGAGGAGTTACTCAGGCAACTGGAATGGCTGTGAGAAGGACAACTTTCCATAGAGCATGTGCAAGGAAATAAAAAACAAGACGTTACGCTCCATGTCAGGAGTGTGTGTATAGATGTTTGCTCACAAGTCTGAAGACCGTGGTGGAAGGTAGTCCTCTTTGGGTTTCTCTGAATGATACTGGAAGAAAAGGGCTGAAACATGGTTCTGATACCATGAGACCACTGTGTGTAGAAGGTCAGATGATCTTGCGTTTTTATTAGCAACTAGCACAAGTTCCAAAGCGTATGAGCTGGTAGGAATCATGGATGTCAATTCTTCAGGTGTCTGCTGAGCAAGCAATATATGCAGTTGAATGGCCTGTGAGTTTGAGTGCCGTGAAGAACACCTTTGAATGGAAAGGCATGAGTACAGAGGCTCCTCAGAATAGGTTTCATAGCCACATGGAAGTAACTAGATGGAAATGTGGGTGTGGGAGGCACACTGCCTGTGAGGTGAATTTAGGAGGAGCTTGTGGGTAGGCTGGAGGACAAGAACAGAAATCAAATAGTCTTGTCAAGTCAAAGATATAGTTGAAAACTGACTTTATTGAACAGATGCAGATACCTATTGAACAAGCAGGTGTAATAAATATTCAGCTACAGAAGGGGAAACAATAGGCTTGGTAGTGCTTTCATGGAGGAAAAAAAATTAAGAGGAGATCACAGGTTGAGCATGCTTCAGTGGTGGAATGCTATTCTGAACAGCCTGCAAAATGAATGAAATTGTGCAGGACCGTTTAGCATTGCTGTGTCATGTCTGATCTTTGGGCACCATAATTCAAGGCAAGTGTGTTAAGTGCTGTGTCTGGAAAATGCTAAATATCTTCTGTAAGAAATACCAGGCGATTAAGCAGTGGAAGAGAGGACAGTTATGTCCTTTTTGAACACTTGTAACAAGCTTCTCCCGTGTCAGCCTTCAGAGGAAAGAACCAATTTGTCCCTTGTCTGCAGTAGATAAGAAAATAGTCATAGGTTTAAATTTCAGTGAGAAAGTTTCAGGCTAGGTGTCAGGGAGAGCAAAGCACGCGGGGATTGCCTGGGGCCAGCGGGGCAGCCTCCACCATGGGTGTCAGTAAGGACAGGTTAGACAAACTTCTGTCAGGGTGACGGGAGTGTAAACCGTCCCTCCTTGGTGGACAAGCTGGGCTAGACTTGGGTTGGGCTGTCTGTCAGGAGACACGGGGCTGTCCTTCCAGCTGACTGCAGGCACAGTCCTTCACGAGCAGTCTCAGCCTCGTGGGCAGCCATTCCCCGATGTCTCTGAAAGAGACTTAAGGGCTTTTTTTTTTTTTTTTTAAAAAAAAGTCTTTTAATTAAGAAGGCTTTCTTTTAGGAAGATGACATAATCCATTTTTTCCTTCATTGATTCTTCCTATTAATTGCTGAAGCCAGGGCTCTGTAAATTCTAGTCTTATTTTATTCCACTTTATATTTAAATGACTTGGCAGATTGTTACATCTACCTGTGTTCTTTCAGCAGAAGGAAGGAGGGCTAATTACCTTACTTCAAGAGCAATATACAGAAATATAACCTATAATTCAGTCTATCTCCTGAGTACTCATCAGAGTGGAAGGGAAAATAATCTGAAGATTAAAAAAAAATGAAATCTTCAGGGGTAAACTAAGGTGTCTTAACTAAGTCC